TATGACTGGTGTTCTTATAAAGGGGGGCAATTGGACTCAGAGACACACATACACAGAGGGGAGACGATGTGAATTCAGGAAGAAGAAGGCCATGTGACCGGATCCATGTGTGTCCAAGCCAAGGAATGCCAAAGACCACAAGTAAACACCAGAGGCTAGAAGACGCAAGGAAGGAGCCTTGCCCAGAGCTGTCAGAGAGAGCGTGGCTTTGTGGACACCTTGATTTCAGACTCCTAGCCTCCAGAACTGTGGGGACGATAAACCGCTATTGTGTTAAGCCGCCTAGTTTTTGGTACTTTGTCATGACCACCCTAGGAAGCGAACCCAGGGAGTTATAGCTTAGGAGTTACAGAATTTCTGTTCAGAGTGATGAAAAAGCTCTGGAAATAGATAGTGGTGATGCTGGCACAACATTTCGAATGTAATGAATGCCAGCGAATTGCACGATTAAAAATAATGTGGCAATTTTTTTGTGTTATATATATTTTACCACAACTTAAAGCAACTAATAACGTAATATACACCAAATCATTGAATTGTACGTTTTTTCAAATGTTTATATATTTTTGAGAGACAGAGCATGAGCGGGGGAGGGGCAGAGAGAGAAACACACACAGAATCCGAAGCAGGCTCCAGGCTCTGGGCTGTCAACACAGAGCCCGACGCGGGGCTCGAACCCACGACTGCGAGATCACGACCTGAGCCGAAGTCGGCCGCTTAACCAACTGAGCCACCCAGGCACCCCAATCAATACAGCCACTTTGGAAGAAGTTTGGCAGTTTCTTACAGAACTAAAATACTCTTACCATACAATGTAGCAATCACAGTCCTTGGTATTTACCCAAATGAGTTGAAAATTTATGTCCACACAAAAACCTGTACATGAACATTCATGACATTCTTGAAGAGGCAAAACTTGAAGAGGATAGTGGTGCTCAGGGTTTTAGGGCAGTGAAACAACTCTGTCTGATGCCACAGTGGTGGATATATGCTCATTATACATCTGTCCAAACCCATGGAACATGCACCACCAAGAGTGAACCCCGATGTGAACTCTGGACTTGGGGTGATATACGGGTGTATGGTAGATGGGGCCTCCCTGCACTTTGTGCTCAGTTTCGCTGTGAATTTGAAACTGCTCTAAAAAATCCTGGGGCGCCTGGGTGGCTCAGTCGGTTGAGCCTCCGACTTCAGCTCAGGTCGTGATCTCGCAGTTTGTGGGTTCAAGCCCCGCGTCGGGTCCTGGGCTGACAGCTCAGAGCCTGGAGCCTGCTTCGGATTCTGTGTGTGTGTCTTTCTCTCTCTGCCCTTCCCCCACTCACGCTCTGTCTTCCTCTCTCTCTCAAAAATAAGTAAACATTAAAAAAAAATTTTTTTAATCCAAAACCTGGCACTGTCCAGAAAAATTTTAACAGGTCAATTTATCATTGTTATAAAGTTAAATTACTAAAAAAAAAGTTTGGAGGTCACGGCAAGAGGACATTTATATGTGGATAATAGCTCAGAGTTAACTCACCATAGGGATGACGGAGAAGGGATGGAGGGGAAGAAGTTCTATGTGAGAGTGAAGCAGTGGTGATGACCCAAGCCACCTCCTTTCTCCCGGGGAAGATGGCACCTGCGGAGGGCCGCGGGGCTAGGGCAAGTTGCGTAACCTCTCTGTGCTTTGGTTTCCCCATGTGTGAAATGGGGGCAATACTGGTATTAGCATTAATCGATATTTACTATTTGGAACATTAAACCGGGGAACTAACGCACAGTGCTGTTCATTGTGCCTGTCGCACGGGAAGCACTTGTGTATCACCCGGAACAGCAACCCCGGGGCCCTCTGAAGCGCCCCCCCCCCCCCCCCCCCGCCCCACACCTGCTGCAGAGTGAGCGTTGGGGAGGGAAGTGTCGGCAAGAGAGTTAACTTTTACTGAGAGACACCCACGTTGTGCTGGGCGATAACTCCACCCCCCCCCGCCCCCCCCCCCCGATTGTGAGGTGGGAACTCTCCTCCCAGAACTGGACACTCAGAAAGTTGCAGAAGCAACTTAGAAGCTCAGTAGAAGCGACCGAACCAAGATGCACATCGGGTCTCCATGACACCCAACCAACTCATTTCCACTCTGCCAAGTGCCCGGGTACCCCGATTACCAATGAGACAGAGGAGAGGTGCAGAGGGTCGTGTCTCCCTATTCGGCAAGCCGCTTGGAGGTGACAGACACATCATGAAGAATATCACAGTTCCCTCCACGTGCTAAAGGCCGTGCCTGGAATGGAATGAGCACTGCATGTGGCCTCAGAAAATGTGGCACAAGTCCCAGCTACATCCACTACTAGTTGTGTGGCCATGAGCAGGTCACTTTACCTGGGCCTCAGTTTCCTCGTCCGTAAAATGGGCATAATAACTAGGCAGACGGCGCGGATTTTGAAGGAAGCAACAAACCTAGAAATGTCTAGCAAGGGGATGGCATACAGGACATACCCAGTGCGCGTTTACTGAATGTGACCTACCACCAAGAACAGAAGAGAGGCCTGGGGGACAGAATCAGGCCTGGGGTCCAAGCTCACATGGCATCTCTTTCAGGAAGGCGTGGATCAGAGCTCCATTCCCCACACGGTGCCCATCAGGGAGGGAGCCAGGGAGGGGAGCTGGAGGTTCTCAGTTCCAATCCGGCAGCCCCCACTGCACACAAACACACCCTCTTCTACACAGCCCTCTGCCGGGAGGTTGCGCCACAGTGTCCCGTCCCCCATTCCCCCGGGCACAGCAGAGACCACAGCTGCGATCCAGCTGCGGAACCGGGCCCAGCCGCTCCCGACTGGCCTTGAGCCAGAGACAGGAAGCCGGGAAGAATTGTGCATGCCTGCCGGACACTGGAAAAGGGTGGACACCAGGGGCTGAGCCCGGGCCAGACTTGTGAGCGCATTGTGTAGAAAGGACTAGATGGGAGAGCTCCATGGGGTCACGGTCACCCTTCATTGCCCGGAGGGCTCTGGGTGGGGGGAGGGGATTTGATAAGCCCCAGGAGGCTGGAAGGAGCACTGGTTTGGGAGTCTAGACACCCGGGATTTAGTAAGATTTTTCAACCCATTCACTGTGTGACATGCAATCAACCCCTTCCCCCTCCGGCCTCTTGGGAAACTGATCTATTGAGCTCTCTGTGGCAGACGCCCTCCAGGGAATACACTGGCAGATGAGACAGAGTCCCCTCTCTCTCGGAGCTTTCCTCCTGCCGATAAACAAACACGTGGAAGAGAAAACATGGCGAAAAGGTCGTGAAGAAAAAGAAAGTGGTGTGAGGGGACACGGCCTCTGAGAAGGTGACACAAGCAGAGGAGACGTGGAAGTGAGGAAGGGGGCCGTGTGGAGATCTAGGGGAAGCACATTCTGAGCAGAGAGTAGAGTAAGAGCAGAAGCCCTGAGGCCAGCACGGGAGGCAAGGAGAAAACACGAACTCAGGAAGCAGCCAGGCTGGAAGAGAATGAGCTAGGGAGACGAGGGTGGTGGTAGGAAGAACCCGTCTCACGGAGCCCGGAGGCCGCTGTTTTAAGCACTCGGCATTTTACTCAGAACCGATCAGTGGGCCCCAGGAGAGCCAGGCCCGGACAAGGGGAGCAGAGCCCGCCTGGTGTGTGTGAGTGGGTGGGAGTGGCATCTTAAACCTCCACTCATTTGCCCCGGGGTCCTACCCAGGTCCTTCGGGGAGAGTGGTGTGTAAGGCCTAGAGTGATCAGGGCACTTGGCTCAGATGAAAAACGTCAAGGGGCATCAGAAAAAACTCCATAATGAAGGGGGGCCTGGGTGGCTCAGTCTGTCGGGCGTCTGACTCTCAATATTGGCTCAGGTTGTGATCTCACACGGTTGTGGGATGGAGCCCCGCGTTGTCAGGGCGGAGCCTGCTTAGGATTCTCTTTCTCTGCCTCTCCCCTACTTGTTCTTGGTCTCAAAATAAAAGAACTTAAAAAAAAGAAGAAGAAAACACCGTAATGACAATAAACAGTATCTTCCTGCAATATATCTAAAAATCAAAATTAATGCAAAAAATCCACGGTGCACAAAATGCCAACATTTTGTAAATCAATGCAGGGTCTAACCCTGAACTTGCACGATCCTGTCTCCCTGGCTTCACTCTAACCCCAGCCCTGGTTCCAATAAAACTTTATTTATGGAAACAGGCAGCTAGCTGGCAGGGCTGGAATTTGCTGATTTGGGTGTTTTAAATACTAAAATAATTGGATTAAAACGTTATGTATCTTGGCATCCTTCTAAATTTTGCACCCCAGCCAAGTGCCCCGTATACCTTACCCTAGTCCTGCTCCTGGACAACGGTGAAAGGATTGAGTTCGACACCGAGGGCCCCAATATTCATCCCTCTTGAAGCTCAGACAGATGCAAAGATTTCACCAGGGAAACGTATGGATGGTGGGGCTGGGATGTGAACTATAGTCCCATGACAAGGCCCACCACCTGGCCATCACATCCTACTGTGCTCTGTCCTGGAATGTTGATTTCGATGAGTGTTGATTTTTTTAAACCTTTATTCATGTATAATAAACACACAACGAAGCACATGTACCTGAAACGCTCACCTTGCTGAATCTTCACAAACTGAGCACACCTGTAAAACCAGCATGTGGGGATTCGATTCAAAGCCTATTTTACATTTCCAACAAAACAAACATACTAGTCCTGGGCCAGATTCCTAGGACTTGGGCGCAAGCAGGCGACTTGGGACCCTAAGGTCGGGGGACTGGACTGATCCAGAGTTTAGGGGCCCTGGATAGAGACTGAGAAGGGAGAAACGGTGCCCATCTAGGGGGTGTGGTTGAAGAGGGGGTCCTGTGGTGCAGGAGAGGGCAGACAGAGACGGTCCCTGGAGACAACGTCCCCCCACCCCCTTGGAGGAGGGCGAGGCCCACGCCGCTGGCCCAGGTAAGCCGGTAAGAATGCAGCAGTCGCCGAGCCGGGCGCGGGTGCGTCCCGGTGACTCAGCCCTTGCCAGGAAGGGGGAGTTCACCCTGCTCTCCAGAGCTCCCAGACCGCAGCCTGGTCCGGGCTGGCTCCCGGGGCGCCAGGCCAGGGCCCCGCAGCAGGCAGCCCGGCCCCGGGAGCGGGACCTTTCCTCCAGGCCCTCCCCCTCCCCCCTTTCCGGTCGCAGCCACCTGGGGTCATCACAGGGACGCGGCCGCGGGTGGCGAGAGCGTGGCGAGCGAGCGCCGTGGGGCCACGGCAGTCCTGCCCCTGCCGCGACGGCGCCGCAGGGGCCTTCGAGCGGCGTAAGTAGCGACTGCGGGGGCTGGAGGAGGCCGAGGAGAGGCCCCGAGTCACTCACTCGGCTCCCGGTGTCCCAGCCCCCTGCTTCAAGCCCGGGCTGGAAGGCGGGATTAGGCGAACTGGCCTGGCGCCGCCGCCTCCCTAATTGCTCACTGGCCGGCGTGGTGGGGCGCCCAGACTCGGCTCCGAGGCGGCCCGGGTCAAGTGTGGCCCAGACGCTGTCACCCCAGCGGCGGCCCCACCTGAGGATCACCCCACGGGCACGCCCAGCGGGCCGCAGGCTCCAAGCCCTCCCCCATTCTCAGGGACCTGGTCCCGGGGTCACGCTGAAGGTCCTCGCCCCCCACCCCCCACCTCGGGCTGTCTGATGGCGGGTCCTTCCTGTCCCCACGGCCCCGAGGAGGGACTCAGCTCGCGATTCCAGATATGCTGTAGGGCTGTCCCTGCCTGGAGGGGCCCCTTCTCTCTTTCCCGAACACCCGCAGTTTGGAAGGCCTCAGACTCCGGTCTGGAGCCAAAAGAAGGGCTCAACTCGGAGAACCTCTCTTTGCCTCCAAAGTTGGTTTTCTGACACAAATTCCCACGCACAGCTGGCAGGGCCGGGGCAGGGGGCGGGGGTGGGGGGGTGCGGATTAGGGATGCTCGGGGCTGCTACCGGACGCGGGAGGCTAGATGGTCACTAACCGGATTTCCCGGAGGGACAGCTTCTGGCGGAGTGGGCACGAGGTCTGTGAGCCCCAGGCCCCAGGCGGAGGGGGTGGGCGAAGGGTGCCCGAGGGCCTTGATCACTCCCATCTTTGGGACAACGAGATTTGGGGCCACAATTATTCAGACCATTGGCTCGAGGTGGTTGTGGTCACAGCGGTTTCTCTCTCTCTCTCTGTCTCTCTCTCTGTCTCTCTCTCTGTCTCTCGTTCTCCTGATTTCCCGAAAACTTTTGCAGAGTTTAGGGCAGGAGAAGGCGAGGGCGCGGCCCCTGGTGCGGCCCCTCGGGGCGCTGGGCCTGGGGGCGGGCGGAGATTTGGGGAGACTGGGGCCCAGCCCCGAAGTCGCGGAGGAAACGCGCGGAATCGGCTTCCTGTGGGGGCTCCGGCCGCGGCGCCCCGCGGACAGACGTGTCCGGCCCTGGCAGCTCCCGGCCCGGCGCGGGGAAGGGACGTGGGGGTGGGGGGGAAGGGGCGACGGGGAAGCCGGGGAGGGGGCGGGGAGAGGGTGGGCCTGGGAAGAAGGGAGGGGAGAGGCGAGCGGGGGAGGAGCGAGGGGGCTGGAGAGGGAGAAGGAAGAAGGAAGGGGGCGAGCTGCGCGAGCTGGCGCCGAAATGGGAGAAAGGAGCGAGTGAGAGGGGAGGGGGCGCGGGGCGAGCGGCGGGGAGCCGAGCGGCCCCTCGGCTGGGGCGCCCTCCGCAGGCGCGCATGGCAGCCTCCGCGCCGTGATCCCCGCCGGCTGAACGAGTAGCGCGCAGCTTGCACGAGTAAGTTGGTCGGGGGGCCGCGATGGAAAGGGGGGAGGCGCGCGTCTGCGGCCGATCACCCCCCCCCCCTGCGCGTTCCCCCCTCCCCTGCTGGCGCTAGGGGAAGGTCGGCCTCGCCCGCTGAGCCCTGTTTTCTGCAGGTCCCGGGCCGATGTCCCAGGTGAGTGGCCAGCGCCCCCCTCACTGCGACGCGCCCCATGGAGCCCCCAGCGCAGCCCCGGGCCCAGGTAGGACCGCGGCTGAAGAGCGAGACTGGAAGGGAGCGGGGTGGGCGGCCAAGCCGGGGGAAGGAGGGGTGGGGGGGGGTGGGGGAGTTGGTTGGGGGGATTTGTTAATTCTCATTCCTCCTCCGGGAGACGCTGGGAGACGGTTCCGGGGAGCTTGGGTGGAGGTGGGGGTGAGGAGACTGGGTATGGGGACTGGGTCCAAGGAGAGTAGAGGGCTGGGGTGATGGGGGCAGGGCCGAATAGAGACCGCGGCTGCGCCAAACTGGCTCCAATTACCCCCACTCCCAACACCAGGCGCGCGCGCGCGCGCGCGCGCGCGCACACACACACACACACACACACACACACACCCCGCGGTGTCTGTCCGTCTGGGACTTGTGTCCCAACCGTTTCTGCCCAGTGTGTAAATATTTATGGGGGCCTCAGGCTGGGGTTGGGGTGTCTGAGTCTCTCTCTCCTTCCCTTCCCCCAATCGAACGAGAGCCTAGCGCTTCCAGAAAACTTTTGTCCGCCGAAAGCTGCTGCAGGACCCGGCCCCTCCCCTCCTTGCCATCTTGTCTCCCTCGTCTTCCTCCCCACCCGGGCCTCGCCGCTCCCACCCTGCAGGCGCGCGCGTACACACACACACACACACACACACACACACACACACACTCCAACCAAGTGCCCATAGCTGGAGTGAAATGCCCCTTCCCCCACCTCGCAGGGTCTGTAACCTCTCTGGGATTCTTGTGGGAGCCTCCCACCCCAGGAAGGCTTTGCGACTCCCAGAGAGATACGGGGTGGGAGCCCTGAGGCTGTGGCTCTCAGTCCATTCTCCTCATTGTGCGGATGTAAACTGAGGCTCACAGTGGCACGCGGGGCCCGGGAGAAGTGGGGATTTGTTGGGGGGCAGTGTGGCGGAGAACAAGAATCTAGGCCCAGATTTCAGGACTTCAGCTCTAGGTTAGTCTCATAGTCTCTTTTGCCTTCCTCTCACCCACCCCCACTCTCCCTTTCTCCCCTCTTTGAGACTCTGAATAAAGAAGGTCTGGTCCTGGGTCTCTGACACCAACTCCCTGCATAGCCTTGGACAATTTCCTTCCCTTCTCTGGCCTCAGTCTCCACCTCTGCCCATAGGGGCCTGTGTGCCTGTTGGAGAGGCTGTCACCTCCCCAGGTCTATCTGGTGCACACCCAGGGCCACTTCAGTGGGGCAAGGGCAAGTGGGAGATGTCTGGCCAAGGGCCAGCGCGAAGATGGGACTTAGGTGCCTGCTGAGTATCCCCACTAGACCTCAGATTCGCTCTCCTCTTTGTGGGGCCCTTGGAGCAGAGACTTCTGGAGAATAAGCTCCTCCAAGAAGTGGACTCCTTCTTCAGCCTGGAGAGAGAGGTTGGGGCGAGGGCCAGGAAGGATCTTTCTCTGTGTCTGGGAACCTCTCTCCCTCTCGGCTTCTCTCACCCCTCCTCACTTTCTGGGCCTCTCCTCTTTCTCTCGCACCCTCTCTCTCCCGCCCTGCCTTCTTTCTCTGCTCATCTGTTTTCTCCGCTCTCTCTCCCCCACTACCTCCTTGCAAGCTCGACTCTCCTGTGTGACCCATTCCGAGTGCTAGCAGGGAGCCGAGGGGGGTGGATGTGCTCAGGGAGGGTGGGCCACCTGGAGGGGTAAACTCCAGGCTGTAACTTAAGGCTCCCCCGACCCAGAGCCCCAGCGAGCCCCCTCCCCAGCCTGAGCTGGGCCAGACAATGTGGCTTTCATAACTCGAGGAGGCCTGGCTCTGCCGCCTTGGGAGAAAGAACCCTGCTGCCCAGGAAGCCCAAACCGCAGGAGACCCAGCCAAAACCCCACAGACGCCGAGACCAGAATCCCCCCCACTCCCTGCTGAGGGCTGACAGAACAGCAAGGCCAGAGCGCTGCCTCTGGGGGGCCTGCTGGCAGGACAGCCTCGGAGCAAGTTCCCCCCCCTCCCTCAGCCACCCAAGATGCAGACGGGGTGCAAGGGGACTCAGGGTAGCTCTGGCTGGGGCAAGTGGCCAAGCCCCCACACCCTTGGCTCCCCCAGTACCTCCTCCCCACCCACCCCTGTGAGCCCCGGAGAGCCTGGCTCCCTTACCCACGGCAGATTTCTGTCCAGCACTGGGGCGTCACATTCCTGCTTTTGGTTCTAAATTGAATTTCCTGGGGAATTGGAGCCTTCAGACCTAAAATAAAACCAACCCGACCCAGCCTAACTGGCCAGCTCAGGCTGTCTTCAGTCCTCAGCCTGGTGGCTGGGATTGGGACTGATGTGTCACAAGTGTGCATCCAGTGAGCTCACATTCTCACCTTCTTGGAGTCTGGAGCCAAGTGCTACCCCTGATCCTCACCCCCTCATTCTCCCTCCTGCCCCTGACCTGGGGCATTCCAAATTCCAGGACTCAGTCCTCACCAATGGAATATTTGTCGAGTGCCCACTGGGGGTGCAGAGATGAACCGTGACACCACGGGAGCAAGCTGGGGAGGGCTGCGGTCTGTCTGGTCAAGGAGCTGTGACCTCACTGTGAGATATAAGTACCAACAGGTGTTAAATGGGTCCTAAGTTCTCAGGAGAGGGGCCACTCCAAGGAGGGACTATTGGCTTGAAGATCAAGGGAAGGCTTTCTAGAGAAAAGGGTGAAGCTGGAGCTGGGCCATGAAGGATAGGTTGGATTGGAGGAGTGGGAGAAGGGAGGGGTAGGGCCTTCCGGTCAAGAGGAGTGCGTAAGCAAGGGTGGATTGGTCAGAAGGCTTGGTGGTGACCTGAGACCATGGAGAGGTCCGGCTGCCTGGAAACAGAATCCCTGTCCATTCATCAGGCTGAAGATGTAGACTGAGGGGCCTTGAATGCCAGGCCAAGTAGAGACTGGGGTCCGAGGTTCCAGTCCCTACCCTCTGAGCAGAGAGATCCTGTCCCTCTCCAGAGACGGGCAGAAGTCCAAGGGGGAGCAGCCTGAATCCACTGCTCACAAGATAATGGAGAGGGCTGGGTTTGAGAGACCAGGCATTGGAGCTCCGGAACAAGGGCCCCAGAGTGAACCCATCCCTCCGAAAGAAATTCCCCGTACTCTGCGGTCCAGGAGCACCCCTCACCTTGGAGGACAGCAGGAGAAAGGAGCCCCCAGGGCTCCTGCTGAAGTTGTGGGTCTCCCTACCTTCCCTCTTGGGCTTGCAGATTTAAAGGGGACTTTTCCGCTCCCTTCTGGGAGGCCTTTCCAGAACTCAGGGCATTGGCTTGAACCCTATCCTGTGTCAGGGAAGAAAGTGTGTCAAGGCAGAGGGACTGCTGCCTTCCTATAGTTCCCTCTTGTGGATGGAGACCCTAGAGAGAGATGCAGGGCTGGGGCTTGGTCTCTTGGTTGAGCACTTGAGCTCCACCTCTCCTCTGACTTTTCTGCTCCATGGGCTTCTAGGGAAAGCTGTTTCCTGGTCCAGCACCTGGGCACTGGGCCATCTGGGTAGTATCTCGGTCATAGCTCAGGTCTCCCCGCCACTTCTTAATGCCTCCTCATTTTGCTTCCGTGTCTCTGGGCACTCAGCACGAGTTCCTTGTGCCCTCGGGGTCGCGTCTGTTGGGTCCCCTCCTCACTCCAGGAGGCCTGTCCTCTATGTTTCCAGGTCATGATGACTGGAGTGGATGGTCTTTCCTCCCTAATAACCTTCCAAGTCTGAGCCTTGCCCCAGAATGGCCCGTTTCCTCCAGGAGGGCCTCCTCGGAACTTGGGCTGGGCTGTCTAACTTCCTGTCTGCACTGGCCTCGAGGTCACCAGCCCCATAGGTGACCTACAAGGAGAGACCGCCAGAGAGTGGCGACACTAGGGGTGGAGGGCAGAAATGGGGACCAGTCTCCCTAACCCCGCTTTCTCACCTTTATCCCTTTCCAACCCTGGAGGGGGGCCAAGGGAGCTGTAGTCCTGGCTTCCTCTGTGGCAGAACGGATGGTGTCATCCCGGTGCACCCCAGTGACCTCAGGAGAAAGCCTGGGAAGCGACCACAAGGCCCCAGTTCTCTAGGCTCACCAGCCTCAACGCCACCCAATGACTGTGGCTTCCCTTGTTCACGATGTAACCGTTCACCCTGGGATGTTGGCTTCCCGCTGCTATTCTTGAAATGTCTTTTTCCCCTTCTTTGCTGATTATCCAAGACCCAGTGTGGTCGTTGTCTTCTCCGGGAAATGTCCTAGAGACACAGCAAGCACACTCACCCCTGGATGAGTGCCCATCTTCTGTGCTTCCACAGCCTAGCGTACCTCCTGCCCCTCAGTGTGTGTGACCGCCCCCCACCCCCCACCCCCCACAGAGAACTCCTGGGCAGTGACCTGGTCTGTCTCATTTTGGTCTACCCAGCACTTGACGTATTGTAAGTTGCATTATAGCTGCTTAATAAATGTTAAACCAATGGCGGATGGAGGGAGGGCAGAAGGAAGGAAGGAAGGAAAGGGAGGGAGAAAAGAAGGAAGGAAGGAAAGGGACAGAGGGAGGGAGGGAAGAAGGAAGGAAGGAAGGAAGGGAGGAAAGGAAAGGAAGGGAGAGGAGAGGTTCATGAATGGCCCCCTACATGCCAGGGCACTGCTGAACATTTCATCTACTCTTTGAAACCCTGAGGGATAAGCACTAGGACCTGTCTTTACACACAAGGGAACACAAGTTCTGGTCACTTGCCCAAGCTGGTTACTGATAAAAGCCAGGGCGTGGGTCTTCCAGCTCCATGCTCAGGCCTTTTTCATGACACCACATGGGAGGGACAGTGCTGGCTGTCAGGGCCATGGCACGGTGTCTCTAGGGCCAAAGGCTGGAACGGGTCCGGCTCCTCCCTTCCTGGGAGTTAAGACTCAAACCCTGAACCTCCATGTTCATGCCAGCTTGGTCTTAGCCCCCAGGAGCCGTGTCTGAGCTGTTGTCTAGACCAGGCTCAGGGCTAGGAGAGGTGCCATCTGGTAGGCATTGCTCCTCCCCGGGTGTCTCTGTGCTCACCTGCTCCTCTTGTCCCACCCGTATGATCTTCCAGAAGGTGTTTGACTCTGCTCTCGCTACCCCAGGTAGTGAGGGGGCTTTCACCGGGCCCAAAGAGTGGGTGGGGCTGGAGGGAACCCTCCCCCTGCCTCCCTGGAGCAGCCATGGTCACCGTGAGGGGCGCCCAACACATAACTCTGCTGCCCTCCAAAGATTCGGGAGCCCTGCGCCCCCCTCCTGCCCCGGCTCCTGTCTCTTCGAAGGGCCTGTGGTTTTCCCAGGCAGGTGTGAGCACGTCCCTCGGTCTAGTGCTGTCTGTCCCGTTTACTTGGGTTCCCGGGGCCTCGTCCCCTTGGCCATGGGGACCAGGATCTTTGGAACAAGGATTGCTCGGGGCGCAGGGAGGCAGCGGAGCCCCTGGATGGATCCCTCCCCTCCGGCTGCTCCCACCCCCCCAGACCTGCATGCCCAGCCCTCATCGACTCCTCTAATGATCACCCTCCTCTCCCTACCCCCTTCTTTTGGAGAAGGACAGAGAAGGACAGCGTATGCATGCCCCTGTGTTCTCTGTGACTGAGTCTGTCTCTGTTTCCAAGACTAGTCTTTGTCTATCTCTCGGTCGCTCTGGGCGTGTCTCTCTCGGTCACTTTGTGTGGTGGGCACAGGCGGGTGTTGATCATTTACTCTCTGGGTTTCTGCCCGTTCTTTTCCTTCTCTGACTGTGGCTCTCCTCTCCCTGTGCCCTTGTGGTCTCTGTGTCTCTCGGTGTCTCTTGTTTCTACGTCTCCCCTGCTTCCAACATGGCATGCAGTGGCGGGGGGGGGGGGGGGCGGGGAACACCCTCTCTGAGCCCCTGTTACCCTGAATACACAACCGGTGGTCTGATGACAGGATCAGGCTGCACCCTGTACCCTGTAATTGCCCGCCTGGCTCCGGGGCCCCATGACCCCCAACTTCACCCTCCCGGCTCCCAGCGTACCCTCAGTCAGGCCTTCCTGCACCCCAGGGGTGGCACCTGGATTGGGAGTCCAGGCCCCTTTCTGCCGCCCTCCCCTACCTCCCATCCCCCTAACCCTCTTGCCCTGGGCCCAGGGGGCCCTAGTCTTGCCACCTCAGGAGCTGTGGGTTTGAAGGTTGCTCCATTTCTGCCTTCCGCCCACCCTGCACTGAGGGGCTGAGCTCCTCACTGTAATTACATGTGGCTGCGGTCCGCCTCTTCCCAGCCTCCTGGGCCGGCTCCCTGCCTCTCTTCCTGCCCGGCCCCTCCGCCTCAGGCCCGTCCTTCTCCTCACCCCCAGGTCTCTGATTCCTTCTCCTGCTCTCATCCTCTCTATTTGACCCGGCTTCGCCCGATCTGTCACTCTCGCCCTTCCGGTAACCATGTTCCCTTCTCTGTCGCCTCTGCCTCTGTCCCCATCCTTACCTGCCTCCCCCTCACTTGCTCTCTACTGAACCTCCCTCCTGTCCCAGGCTGTCTGTCATGGGGCTTCTGGGGGCTCCCTCTTTCGGTGCCCAAACCTGCCTTCTGATGCTGTCTCTCTCTCTCTCTACCTTTCATTGTCCCTTTGGTTCTTCCCCTGTCACTCTTTTTTTTTTTTTTTTTTTTTAATTTATTTTGAGAAAGAGAGAGAGAGTGAGTGTGGGGGAGGGGCAGAGAGACTCCCAAGCAGGCTCTGAACTGATGCAGGGCTCGAACCCCCAAACCACGAGATCATGACCTGAGCTGAAGTCATGAGCCCCCCCACCCCCATCACTCTCGATGCCTGTCCCTACTCTCCATCACTGACCATCTGTCTGTTCTCTCCTGCTCCGCGGTTCTGCCTCCTCTCCCCACTTCCCTTCATACTGCACATCGCTGGGGCGCCTGGGTGGCTCAGTCAGCTGAGCGTCCGCCTCCTGATTTCGGCTCAGGTCATGATCTTGCAGTCTGTGGGACTGAGCCCCGCACCGGGCTCCGCACTGACAGAAAGGAGCCTGCTTGGGATTCGGGCTCCCTCTCTCTCTGCCCCTCCCCCACTCGTGCTCTCTGTCTCTCTCTCTCTGTCTCTCTCTCTCTCAAAATAAACAAATACACATTAAGAAAAAAAACCACTGCACATCTCTGGCCCCTTTCCCTGACAACCACACGGACACATGTAAACACATGCACTCACGTGCATGCATACACACACACACACACACACACACACACACACCCTTGATCACTCGTGGGTTTTGTTTTGGGAACTTTCTATTTTGGAGCCTGGCACTGTTGCCAGATAGGGTAAGGGCTGGGTAGCTGGTACAAAGAGACAGAGAATGAGGGCTCATGGCATTCTGGGCTGTGGGAAGGGGACCAGGGCTGGGCAGACAGGAGGGCACCAGGAAAATATACCTTCGTCGTCTGATCTTTCTCTAGCCCAGACCCAACCCCTCCTGCCTGAGCTGGAGGTAGTAACAGGATCCACGCACCCTGTGGAGGCAGCGCTGGAGGAGGACTCCCTGGAAGAGGCGGCACCCCCCATGCCCCAAGGCGATGGCCCTGGGGCCCCTCAGGCCCTGGACAGCACTGACCTCGACGGCCCCACAGAAGCTGTGACACGTGAGTCCTAGGGAGCCAGGGGATGCGGGTGGCAACATGGAGGGCTCGCGCCAGGGAATCCGATTCATACGGGCTGGCGGAAACGCAGCCGTCGCCCGCGGGAGCCTAGCACAGGGCCAGGACCTTGAGGGGTGGGCGACGGAAAGGCCTGTGACGTGGTCACTGTCCTTTCTGTCTAGGAAAGAGACCGCCACAGACAAAATGACTGGTATAAGATCAGTTCACAAGGAGTGTGGACAGGCTCCAGGCGATATGGTTCAGGACAAGAGGGCGTGTGGCCGTATGAAAGGAAGAAGGGGGCTGGGGGTGCTGGGGGCAGGGAGCCAGAGCAGAGCCCCGCTGGATCCCACCCTTCCGGGCGCCAAGGGCGAAGAGGCAGGAGAGGAGCCCCCAGCTGCCCTGGGCAGAAGGGAGCCCACCCCCAGGCTTGGCCCGAGGAGGCCTCCGAGGAGGTCCTGGAGGGAGGGAATTCTTCCCCTTCGCTCTCGAGAGAGGCGGAGGGGCAGCCAGAGCCATTTGTAGTTAATAATAAGATCCACAAAATCTGTAGACACATTTGTACTTTCCAGCCTTCTCTCGCTAAAGGATCTCACGAGCTCTTCCAAACAGCCTGTAGCGAGGCAGCAGGATAGCTCTTGCCAAGTCCATTTTACAGATGAGGAGACTGAGGCACACAGAACCACTCAGCCTGGACACAGCTGGGGAACTCAGGTCTCCCGGCCCAGTGCTCTCCCTGTGCCTTCCTGCCCAGCTGGCAGGGCTCAGCAGGGAGCTGCCTTCAGCCAGGGCATCTGGGGCTAAGTTGGACTCCCTGGAAGTCGGGGTTACTAAATCCTGCTAGCGAACTGCCCTCAGCCTCCTCTAGACACACCCACCCGCAGAATCGAGAGAAAGAGGTCAGCGCCGTGGCCACAGAGGAGGGGGCCTGGATGGGAGTCGGACAGACACCTCTGTGTCTATGGGCCCGAGTGTTTGCTCTGTGACTCAGTCCCCACGGCCACCCCCATGGCTATGGCCACAGGCAAGCTCTGTGTCTGCCCGAACCTCCCAGGGCCCTCAGCTCACCACACACTCCCGCCCTCTGGTCACTGTGCCCATGTTTAGGCATCAGGGCAGGGGGCACGGAAGCTGGCCAAGGACTCGGGCCGGTCTCCCGCCACCACGGGGCCAAGAGGTGGGAGCAGGATGATTCAGGCCTGGCTGCTTCCCATGGCCTTACCCCTGTTTACCCAGATGCAGGCACCAGCCACACCTCAGGGCCAAAGGCTCCCAGCGTGGAGCTGCCCCAGAGCCCTGCTCCCATCCTCTCCTGACTCCCCACCTGGTCCTCGGCTCCTTTCTCACAGCCTCCATCCCCTCCCCACTCCACTTCCTCGCTGTGGAATCTTGGGTAGGTTTTACCCTCTCCACACCTCAGTTTTTTCATCTGTGAAATGGGGCCGGTAATAGTCGATCTGTCACAACTACGACACAGAAAGCTCTCGGCACGGTGCTGGTACCTCATCACAGCTCCACGCGTAAGCTACTAGTTCCGAGACTAGTGATGGTTGTGATGTAGCAGCCTATTCCCCAGTCCTCCGTCTCCCAGCCTCTGCTCCCTTCCTGCCTCTGCGTCCCAAGCCCCAGCTCTTAGCCTCCAGGCCGGGCCCACCTCCGACATTTACTAGTTGTGGGACCTTGGACAAGTTACTGTACTCCTCTAGGACTCCGTTTCCTCCTCTGTGAAAGGTGGGTCCTGCCCTATGGAGATACTCAGAGGCTTTGGTGAGAGAATCAGCATGACAAGTGCTTAGAAGGGTGGAGGCCAGCAGTCAGTGCTCCCTGACTGGATGTGACCGCCACCATTTCTTAGAAGGCCCAACCAGGGGACGCTTCCCCAGTCAGGGGACGCTCTGAGGCCACCTTCCCCTCTCCTCAGCCTGCCGGGACTCGGGGACCCAGACCCCAGTGCGTAGAGATGGAAGTGTCCCACACTTACACATTTACAGAGTCCTGCCCAGGGATCAGCAGCCCTGAGTGGCTGAGGGGTCCCAGAGCTCTGCTTCTCCCTCCCCTCCCCCAAACACACACACACCCACACCCACACACCCACACACACATACACACCTCCCCTCATCTCTTGTGAACAGAACCATGCCATCCAGGTGAGCAAACCTGAGGTGAGGAAAGGGACTGGATGCTTTGGGGGGGGATCCCCAGACCCAGCTTCCCTGTACCCCACTGATGAAGCTGAAGTTTGGTCCCTCAGCCTGAGATGGGGACTCAGAGAATTCCTGGCCTCGGGGACCCCCCCTCCCCCACCGCTGGCCTCTCTTCCCTTGTCACCCTTCTCAACCAGACCCCCAGGGCCCCACAGCAGACTGCCAGCCACCCCACAGAGGCGGACAGGGCAGGGGAGCCGAGGGGAAGAGAGGGGCTGTGAGGGCCCCTGGAGTCCAGGGCCAGGGCGTTCATCTCCAAACAGATGTTTCCAATAAATCACCCAGCACACGAAGGGCAAAAACAGCTGGGGGCTTGGCAGGGGCCGAGGGGAAGGTTAACTGCTTCGCTGCTGTCCTTCCTCACCCCAGCCAAACAGTCCTTACCCCTGGCCACCGTCCCTCTTGCCAAAACCCCAGGACTCCAAGGGCAGGAGAATGGATTTCATATGGGGTAAGAAGATGGGGTCCAGGGCTCTGAGTCCCTCCTCTTGCCTTGCACCTCTGTCTTTTCTGGAGGGAGCACTGGCCTGGGAGTCATGGGCCAGGCTCAACTCTGCTATTTCCTGGTGTGCCTCCGGGCACGTCACTTCTGCTCTCTGGGCCTCAGTTTCCCCATCTGCAGAATACAAGGCCAGCTAGTTGGCCTGTGGTGTATCTAAGGACCGGGCCAGAGCTCTGGGAGGTTGTGGCCCCCCACCCCGGGGTCCCCCATTAACCTTTCTCATTATCTCTCTAGGCCAGCCTCAGGGGAACCCCTTGGGCTGCACCCCTCTGGTGGCGAATGGCTCAGGCCACCCCTCGGAGCTGGGCAGCACCAGGCGGGCGGGGAATGGTGCCCTGGGTGGCCCCAAGGCCCACCGGAAGTTGCAGACGCACCCGTCTCTCGCCAGCCAGGGCAGCAAGAAAGGCAAGAGCAGCACCAAATCTGCTGCCTCCCAGATCCCCCTCCAGGCGCAGGAAGGTAAGCACCCCATCCCACCTCTCCCTGGGAGAGGCCTCCGAAGGCATGATGCAGCAGCATCTTCACCAGGTTGCGCGTTAGAAGTTCAGTCTCAGCCCCACGCCAGGCCTACCGGCTCTGAACTTCAGGGTAGGGCCCAGGAGACTGGCCTGGGAATCTGGCCAACTACACCTGGTGGGTAAATCGAGGCACAGCTGCGTTCTCCAGACCGGCCCCTCCCCACCTCTGCTCACGGAGAGTTGCCGTAACAAGGAAGAAAACCACAATGTGGCCTGAGCCTGTGTAAGCCACCCCGTTTCTGGAAGCACAGCTTCCCTCAAGGAATGGACCCTCTGTTTAGTGAGAGCAGGACACCCAGCAGAATAAAATGAGGCACCATCATCAGATACCCGCATGGGGGTGCAGCGAGGACTGTGCTCCGGCGGGGGTGAGGGGGGTGCCGTGGTGCGGCGGGAAGTCAGAGAACCCAGATGCGCCAGCCATCGTTCCTGCCATGCAGAGGGGCCTCTGCAGGGCCGCCCTGGGCAGCCAGCTTTCCCGCCTCATGAGGCATCAGTTCAGCATGGGTGATGGCCCCCTGTAGCTCAGTGGTACTTGACCTTCACCCCAGAATTTTTAAGTGAGCCCTGCCCACTCTGGGGGACTCCGTCCGGCCTGGTCTTCTGCAAACAGGATTCAATGTGCACATTTGCACGTAATGTGTTCACCAGCTTTCCCACAGAACAGATTCTGCCCAACAGTCTTAATTATGAAGGGAGTGTTCATTCATTTAAAATGTACTGCGCATCTGCTATGAGCCAGGCCCTGTGCTGGGTAACCAGTCCGTGGCCTCTAAAGCTCTCATGAGAAAGACAAACAGGTAATCACCATATGGGGTGATAAATACACTGACAGAGCCACACACTGGAGATTATGCAAACAACCCCAGGGGACCCCACACCAGCCCAGAAAGCTGGGGAGGACCAGTCTGGGCAGGCTCCCGAGGTGTCTGAGCAAGCTTTAAAGGGTGAGTAGGAGTATCTAGCCAGGAGGGGCATTAACACAGAAGTGAGAAATGGCTAGTTTGGCTAGATCATGGAAATTATGTAAGGAATGGGGAAAGGTGAGACTCCAAAAAGGCAGGGGCTCTGGGGGTGGAAGGCACCTGGTTAACTCTACCCTGGACCTAGACTTTATCTGGAAGGCAATAGGGAGCCATTGAAGGGTTTTAAACAAGGTAGTGACTTCCATCGGATCTGCATTTGAAGAGAACGCCCTCGCCCTCGTTCAGTATGTAGGTAGGTTGCAGGGGCTCCGAGCTGTCCCTCCACACAGTCCCTCCACACAGAAATGAGGCGGGAGAGTCAGATCCCCCGTGGTGTGAGACTCTCTGGAGGGAAGGCCAGGAGCCCACCTGCCGCGTGCCCAGCCCCTGGGAGGGATGCCAGCTCAGCATCCTGGCAGCACACTGAGTGGAACCAGCTTGCCTGGTTTGGGTTCCTAGCTCCACCGTTTCCCCGCTGGCTGCCCAAGGGTAGGCTCACGCATTAATTCAGCTACCATTTACTCACCTCGATGTCAGGCACCTTCTAGGGACTAGTAACATGCCAGTGACTACAGCGGACAAAGACGCCTGCCTTACATGTTAGTAGGAGGAGAAAGCTGTGCAGAGCCATGGAAGGTGATAAAGTCCTGGGGGTAGGGAGGAGGCGAAGCAGGCCAGGGGCGGGGCTGAAGGAGCTGGGGTGTGGCCAGCAGGTCACCGAGATGGTGGTTGTGGAAAGCCACAGCAGAGTGACCCAGGGGGACAGAGTGTGGGAGGAGATCAGGTCACGTGGGACCGTGGGGGCCACTGTGAGAGCTCTCTGAGCACAGGAGGGATGGGCTCCACTGAGGTTTTGCAAGGGTCCCTCTGGGCTACTGTGTGGGGAGTGGGTGCAGGGAGGGGTAGTCAAAGGCGGGGAGTGGGGCGACCAGTGAGAGAGCAGCAGAATGGCAGGATTCTGCTGGGTCTAGTTTGAAGTGACTTCTCTGTGCCTCAGTTTTTTCATCTGTAGAGTGGGGCTAAGAGTGGCCCCATCTCCTGGAATCCTTGCAAGTTTAAATGAGTTTCATCCATGCCCAACACTTAGAACAGTGCCTGGGACGGGCTACCACTCGGTGCGTGTGTTAAATAAATGACTCAGGGTGTCGAAGAGCGGGGCCTCGGGATCCAGACCGCCTGGGCTCAGACCCTGGCTCTGAAGCCAACGGGGCAGGTGCATGTAACTCTCTGTGCCTTGGGGTCATGCCCTGGAAAGAATCCCCATTTCTCCGAGCTGTGGGAGGGTAGGGGAGCGCTCGTGAGCCCCCTGTGGCTGGGTCCCTGGCCCCTTGGCTGTCTCACGGCCCTGTCCCCCCACCCGTGCCCGCAGACTGCTGCGTCCACTGCATCCTGTCCTGCCTGTTCTGCGAGTTCCTGACGCTGTGCAACATCGTCCTGGACTGCGCCACGTGCGGCTCCTGCAGCTCCGAGGACTCGTGCCTCTGCTGCTGCTGCTGTGGCTCCGGCGAGTGCGCCGACTGCGACCTGCCCTGCGACCTGGACTGCGGCATCGTGGACGCCTGCTGCGAGTCCGCCGACTGCCTGGAGATCTGCATGGAGTGCTGCGGCCTCTGCTTCTCCTCCTGACCGCCGCCGCCCCCGCAGGGTCCCTCGCGACCGCAGCCCGGGGGCGGGGACGCGCGAGGCCACCTCCGCGGAGGCGGGGGGGGCGGGGCCGCTGCAGCGCCGCCTCCTCGCGGTTCCCGGGACCGACGGTGGCCCCGGACACCCGGCGGGCGGGCTGGGGTGGGAGCCGCGCCTGGCCCCGCGGTCTGGGCTGCGGAACACTGTGAACGTGGGGCGCAGGGACGCGGGGGAGGCGGGGTCGGCGGGCGGTGCGCTCCTCTACCTCTCACCGCCCCTGGCGCCCGCCTCCCGCCGCCCAGGCTCCGAGGACAGCAAAATGTGAAGTGAGACACCCCAGCCCGCCCTGGGCCAAGCCCCTCCCCAGTCTCCTTCCTGGGACCCGTGGGGGGCCTGACCCCTGCGGTGACCCCCGAAGTCCCCCAGAGGGCAGGGCTGGGCCAGAAGGGACGGGAACGGTATAGAGACGACTGGAAGGGGGGAGAGGGAGGGAATGGAGGGAGGGTCTGTTCTATTTGTTGCTGTAAATAAAGTTATTTGTCCAGCTCAGATTTCCTCGGCTCTCGTGACTACTCACGAGTCCACGGACCCCGAGACTCCGAAGCAAACACCCACCTCCCCCCTCACACACACACACACACACACACACACACAAAGCACCCAAATGGATGAGCCTTCCTTCTGGGGTCCCTTCTCTTCATGTTCCCCTCCCTCCTTCACGGTCCCCCGAAAGGCAGCAAGGGTACAGACTCCCCACCATTATTTCCCTCTTCCCATCAAAGGGAAGGGGGGAAGTCCGGGGAGGGAAGAGTTAACCCTTGGCATAGAATTAATTAACAACAGATGTGTTCGGGTTTTGATTAATTAATCTCCTGCTGACTCCTGCTTCTCGAAGCCCTTTCCGTGATGGCTCTGAGGCTTGGGTGCCGCCTGTGTCGGTGGCAGAGCAGTGTCCGGGGAGGGGTCGACTCAGGACGGCGCAGCCTGGGCTTGCCCCCCCGGCTGGCCCCGGAAAGCAAGCATGGCTTGCATGGGGGTCACTCAGCCCAGTCTCCAGTCCCCTGATTGTCAGGGGGCCTGAGGAAGAAGAAAACTGGCAGGACTAGCAGAAGCCTGGGAGGCCCCGTGGCCAGAGCCCTCCGTGTCTGCAAGGCAGGACAGCACTGAGCACTGCAGGAGGGGGTTCCAACACTGGGGAGGCCTGGCTGGGCTGAGCCTTCCCTACCCCATTCCCGACCAGGAGAGAGTCAGGAGGGGCCCAGGGTGAGTGAGAGAGAGAACATCCCGTGGTTGGACTTGTACCGTCTTGAGGAGAAGACAGGGCTGCAGAAGGCCTTGTAAACTTGAGAAATGGGTGGGCACCGCTTCCAGGAACAAAGGCTGGAATGGCCCAGAGGAATTCTGGAAGGAAGGAGCTCAGAAAAGGGGCCAGATGAAATCTCAACTCTCTTAAGGAGTGTCCTACGAAGGAGCAGCCCATGACTTTGGGAGGGGGTACAGTTGTAGCAGGAGGAGGTAATAAGAGGTGGTGAGAAAGATTTCCCCGCCGGCCTCCCCTACACCAGCTCCCGCCACCCCCCCACCCCTGCCTCCCATGCACAGGTACACAGCCCTCACTCTCCCAATATCAAGGTTTCCCCGACCTCTAGGCATTGTCCTACACTGTTTTTATCCCTTGACCATTTGTCCCGGGCACCTTCCTAGCACACTGAAAAGCGGCCTGAAATTCCACTGAAGGACAAGCCTCCGTCCAGCTCCCCGGCTCCTGCTTACTCCCTTCCAGTTATTTCTCTGCCACAAACAAGGACATGCGCTAACATGCCCTTTTCCGTGAACAAGCCGTGGCTGTAGAATATTTGAAAGGTGGGATTGCTGTGACTTTGACACGGCCGCGCCGTCGCCCTCCATGGCCACAGAAGCGCCATTTTTCTCACTGCTGTGGCTCTTTGTCCTGAGGAGGGCGGACAATGATGGGGGGCTCCCATTCAGTCCCTGCTCAACCTCAGGTCTTCCCGAAGGCTGGGGTCTGAGGGATGTGAGGGAGGCCGGGAGGAGGGGTGGGGTGCTCCCGACCAACTTGAGGTCTGGTCCAGGTGGGCAGGAAGGCCCCCTCCCTGGCCCTGGCCCCTCATGGGGACCGTGGCAGGAAGAGGTGCCTCTGCTATCCAAATATCGATTTCCTGCTGCAGACTCTGGGCTGTTTTCTTTAGGACAGTGGCTGAAACCTGAGAGGCTGAGCTGGATGGGGGCGGGACAGGGGCAGGATTCAGCCAGCCTCCCCCCAGCACACACACACACACACACACACACACACTCACTCACTCATTCACTCACACTCACAGACTCTCCTTACAGTCACGTACCCACATACGTTCTGCAAAGCCACAGCACTCACATGCACACCACACCCACATGTATATGCACTCAGGCTCTTCACATTTTCAGAGCCCACAGCCACAACCAGCCCTGGTCAGCCTGGGGCTGTGCTGCAGAGCCCAATGTCCACTCCCGCGGGTGCGGGTTCCAGCACTACCTCTGCTGCGGGCCCCAGGGAAGAGGCTCTTTCGCTTGGCCTCACTTTCTTTATGTAGACAATAGGGCATCAGTGAGACTCTGGAAATCTAATGGTCACCACAGGGTTGGAACAGGAGACCAGCCCCCTGTGGCCCAGGAGACTTCTTGACTGGGCACGCATCATGTCCTGAGCCGTCTAACCCAAGACAGGCATTACCACACTGACGGGCAGAGAAGCTGGTGAGGCCAAGTTCAATTGTCTCTGGCCAGGATTGCCCGAGACCACCAGGTGATCTTGTGTGCCAGACTCAAAAGATTTTGCCCCATGACGGAGCAAGTAGCATAACGAGGGGCTGGCTAATGAGGGGAGGGGTGGGCAGCCGCCCCTCTGCCTGCATAGCGGCTATCAGCTTCTCCCCATTCTTTAGCACATTTCATTAGCAACCCAATTAAATCGGCTGGTACCCATGGCTGGGCGGACGCAGCCACACGCCCTGCCATTCCATGGCTCTGGGGCTGCCAGGATGGGACACCTGTAAGCAGCCTGGATGCTGGATTGCCTGCGGCCACTCGTGCCCTGGGACATGTGCCAACACCCCCCTCCCCAACCAGGGAGACTAAGGGACTGAGGGCTGGCCCCTCAGCCTCTCGAGTAGCTCCAGACACTCCCCATTGCTGAGCAGTGGGAAGGCGGTGTGGTGGCTCTGAGGACTGGGCCTGTGTGAGGAGGGGTGGAGAAGAAGCAGGACAGGAGCCTCAGGCTACACGTGGGGGCAGCAGAGGGGACAGAGATCACGGACCGGGCCCCTTGTCACCTCCATGTGTTGCTTCTCTCCATATTCTGACCCTTCGGGAATGATGTGGAGACGCGGCATGGGGTGGTCCCATGGGCACAGCCCTCTTGTTGACCCAGCCATCCCTTCCCCCTTCACCTCCTGCAGAGGAAAGCCCCCTCCCGGCCTTCTCCCTGCCCCTCTTCTGGTTTTATTACCTTTCCCCAGCCCTGTAGCAGCCTCTACAGTCCGCAAGGCCTCCCATCTCTGGCTGTGCCTCTCTCCAGGTTACGAGCTCATTCCCTCCTACTGCACACGGGGAGGGTGACAGTCAGGGGTGGGGGGGAGGGGTGGGAAAAGGAGGTGTGTTCATGCACCGTGTCTACCTGACATTTCTCATTTTGCCACCTCGGGCCCCGGGGTCCTCCTCATCCCTGGGCCAGTCACCGCGTCAGGGGATGGAGGGCTATGATGGGCCAGGGCTCTGTGGCCAGGGACAGTGGGTTAATTGGCTGCCCCTCCAGAACCATGTGGAATCCAGGAGCAGAAGATTCTCGAAGAAGTAGGGGTGCCGTAACAAAAAGGGGGGGGATGGTCTGGCAGATGAAAACAACAGAAGTCACGATGGGCCCAGACTACTGCGTGCGGGTCCAGAAGGGGAGGCCTGGCCAGAAAATATGAATGGTCAAGTGCAGCTCAGGGCATCTGGACAGAGAAGAGAAGTCAAAGACAGTGACCTTCAAATCCCTGAAGCCTGAGAGGAGAGTGAGGCTTATTCTCAGGCTCCAACAGGCAGAGGAAGACCGAGGGGTGGACATACGGAGAGAGAGCTCCCGGCTCCAGGCAAGAGGGCCAGCTGGAGAGCCAGCAGTGAGAACTGCCCTCAGGACAGCGGCCAGCGACGGCGGTGGGTGGGGCCTCCCTGTTCCAAGGACTGTTCTGGGGGAAGAGGGGTGTGGATGGGGTCCCTGCCTTGGGGTGGACTGGCGGCAGCGGAGCAGATGGTGGGGTTGTGTCAGGTGGCCCCCTCAATTCCCGCTAACTCAGACCTTCCACGGCTCAACAATGCAGACAGCGGCCAGCTGATGAGAGAGAAGCAGAGGTGGAAGGTGGAGGGGAGATAGCGGACAGTGCAGGCAAAGTGTCCGCAAGGTCCTGGAGACAGAAAAGCCACGCAGGCAGGCTGCAGGCCCCGTCCCTCAGCTCCTCCCAAGGTCACCGGCCGTGGGCTGTGGGGGCAGTGGTGACCCTCATTCTGGGTCCCTCCGGTGCCTGGAGCCTCCACAGCTCTGGGCAGCTTGGCATTCATTAGGGGCTGGCTAATGGCTCGGAAGATTGGCCAGGGGCGCTGCTGAATAGAGACCTCGGTGAGATTTATTCCTAATTATCTCATTTGTCTCCCCCCATTACTCTTTATGGCTGGGATTTATAGGGCCATTAGTGGGGCCCCGGCCAGGCCAGGACGAGCGTGAGCCTTGAGATGCTCCATAATAATAACAATAACAATGCTCACCCTGGCCAGATTAATGGGGGTGCCTTCTTGTCCTCCCCACCCCCTGTCCTTGCCGCCCACATGTCCCTCTCCCTTCTGGGACCCCCTGGTCTTCAGCACCAGGTCCTCAGCCACCTGTGGAGTTCAAGCCTGTGGCCTCCCCGTTCCCCCACCCCAAGCTTGTCTCTTGGCCCTTCTCACGTGCTACCTTTGGGAACTTCATGGTGATAGTTGGGGGGATGTGGATTCCAACGGTAACGCCTCTGAGACAAGCCTGTATCAGTAATGGATGTATCAGTAATGGATGCGTTTGGCTATAAACAGCTTAATCTGAAAGGACATGCGTTGTCTCCTTAACTAGAAGTACAGAGGTAGGTGATCCTGAGCTAGTCAAGAGGCTCAAAGATGCCACCGAGGAGCCTGGCTTCCCTCCTTCTTCTCCGTCATCCTCAGCATACGGTCCCTGTCTCCCCTCCCGCTCACAAAGTGGCTACCATAGCCCCAAGCATCAAGCCCACGCACAGCGTCCACGCCAAACAAAAAAAGGCAGGTGGGAAAAGGAGGCCTTCTCCTCTCACACCTTTTATCAGGAGAAGGAGATCATTTCCAGATGCTCCTCACAGGTCGACTTAACTCTGCCCAGACTGGGTCCCATAGGGTCCTAGGTGGGGTTCCCCCAGAAGCAGGCCCCAGACAAGGCTTCGAGTGCCAGTAAGTTTGTTCGGAAGCAGATTTCAGGAAACATCAGTCGGGGAGCAGGGAGTGAGGCCAG